GTCCATGCACAAAACAGGGACTTATGGTACAGAATCAAATTTAGATTTTACTTGTATTAGTTTTGTTATCTTGGACAACTCTCTCACCTCTCTGTACCTTGAATATTTCCTTTGTCAGGTGGAGGTAGTAGTGCCTATTACAAGAGTATAGTAAGGATTTAAAAGAGAGCCACTAAATAAGAATCTTCTAGCTCTTTGAAAATGTTCAGTAAATTTTAGTTATTGCTAATTTCCCTCCAAACATCATGAATTGTCATCAGTTGAGTTTGCCCTTTTGTTTCTAATTTATTTTATTTGCCTGGTGCATTTCTTTTTATTATTATTATTTTATTTATTTATTTAATGTTCATTCACTGAACATCACAGCATACAAAATGTGATTTCCATCCAGAATACACTGTATAGTGGCTTAATCATACATGTTATCGTCCACAAATACTTTTCTATTTTTTTTTCTTATGTGTGTTTGTTATTTGCAGTTGCTTTCTATTCCTTCCCCCCCACACATTTTATTGATTCACAACATTTCTTAAATAATATAACTACTTTCAGTAGCAAGTTCAGCTGATACATACATATCTATGGACACATGATTGACTTCAGACATGAAATTCTGTGAGTAGAATGAATATACTTAGTACCTAGCTAAGGCTATATAGCTTACTTTGGTCATTACATAGGTATTTTTAAACATATATTTTAATTTCAAGAAAGGCAGTTTTAGCTTTAATAAATCAAAAAATGTTAACAGAACTTTGCTTAGGATTTAAAGTGAGGAAACAGGTTAGGATTCTGTTCAAATAGTAGGTACATGAACCTGTCGATAACTCAAGAGAAGACAAAAATCCTTAACTCTGGAAAAGAAAACATAGAAGAAGATCAGTAATGTTTTAGTCGAAAGTCATAAGATTCTATTTCACCAGTTCCGCCTCATGTACTTAATCTAGCTTCTGTTGTAGTCCAGTCTTCCCATTTATATTTCTCCTTAAATATCCAACTCAAATGCTACATTTGGGTGGTGCTTTTTATTTTCCTTTTCAGAATTCATTGCCCCTCCTTCCCCCACCTAGGCTACTTTGGTTATACTTTTCATGGACATACCATATCTCACATTAGAGTTTTAGTTACCTCAATTTTAGCTACTGTAGCAGTTTTTACAAGCCATTTTTTCTGTTGCGTGTCTAACTGATCACTGTGCAAAGATTCAATATTTAGAAATAGTTTGTGACTTGAACAAAAGTGAAGTTATGACTTTGACTTTGATGAACCAAGTAGTTATGAGCTGAGTTAACCTTAAAGAGCATAATGAGCCAGCCATGACACTCTGCAATACTGAGGCTATATGAGAAGGTTCTGGATTCACATCTCAAGGTCTCCTTTGCATGCTGGCCATGAGTGCATGCCTGTGACCTGGACTGGTTAAGATTGGGAATGTGAAGACCTGGCTAGAGGTACCTGTCTCATTCTTTCTCTGTCTCTCTGACCCTCAGTCTCCTGTCTCTGTCTCTATCTTTCTGTCATGGAAAAAAATGATGGAAATTAAAGTTGGAAAAAGAAAAGCATCATGTGAAATCCATTTACTGAAGAAATGGAAAATCAAACAGATGTGGAAATTAAATACCATTTTAAATCAATGGGGCAAAACAAAGACCAGACTGCCAACACTGTTGCTTTGACCTGGCAACTCCTTTTCTCTTTGGTACAGTCAGGAGGAGAAGCAGCTACATTCATGTGGCTATGGGGGTATGCAGGGAGGACTCCCAGAAGATTATGCAGTGATCATGTAGCCACTATCACCAAACCTCATGGAAGGATGAAGAAGACTGCAGCAGCCATATTGTTGTGGACCCACATTTATAAGAGACAGACTTCACTGTCAGCACCTCTCTTATGCAGGGGATGCAGTGAGTCATCTTTCTTATATTAACTCATCACTCCTCTTTCTCCCTTTAGCATTATGTCATAAGGGTCAGCAGTGCCCGGCAGTATGCTTATAATCAATACTTACTGAGTGAATGAGTAACTATACACAAGAAATATGTCTAAGATCACATAACCAATAAAGAATGGAATCATTTGAATACAGAACCTTCTAAACGTCCTTCCCAGGATCATTTCATTTTTACACACTGCATGATTGGATGACACTTCATTGTAAATCCAAGCAGGCATATGAAGTCTATTAAACCACTCTCACTAAGCATTTTCTCGCAATTTTCACCTGACATGTTTTTCCTTCATGCCTAGGAGGATTTTCTCAGATGTCTACTCATGTTAAAACACAGTTGAAATAGCTCATCCTCCCCTTCCTGCCTTATCTAGATCTGGTGCTCCATGTCTTTGGTCCCATCAGCCAAGTGCACACCATCCTCATATCACTCATGATTCTCTACTGCGGTCTCCACCAATAGAACTTGAGCTCCCTTCAGGGTAAGGAGCTTTCTCACTCTATTCAGAGGCTTGAGTACCTTGCAGTTTTCAACAAATTATGAACATTCAATAGATATTTCTTCAACAAATATGTAAAAGAAGAATACTAAAGCCCCAAGAAATGTAACTTGGAACTATAGAGACAAATTAGAAATATCAACAATATACTAAACCCATGTAAGAACTTATTGCTGAAGAACCAGCAGTTAGTGTAATGGCTATGTCGCTGGACTCCCATGTAGTCAACCGGGGTTCGTGTCCCGGACCCGACGGCTTAAAACTCGCGCCGCGGGTGCGTGTGCGTGTGTACCCAAGATCCCGAGAGGAGAATGGAGAAGGGATTGCGGTGTGGCCATCCCCCCTGGGGGGTGATTTTTCGCTTTCTGTCTCTCTGTCTGGCGAGCGCACGCACCCTATAGCAAAAAAAAAAAAAAAAAAAAAAAACTGTTTGCTGAGTACCCACTCTGGCCTGTTCACAGTACTCCCTTATCTTCCTATCTTTACACTCCCTACTGCCCAATAGACGGAAATGATTAATTCCCAGTAGAACATTTTTACCTGTGCCCTAGGCTATTTTTCTATTTTCTGTTACAGATTTAGTTTGCCATTACACCCAATTTTCTTCTTTTGTAGCTGTAGGCATTGTTTCAAGACCAAAAAACTCTCAATATAAACAGAGGTTTATAGTTTTTTCCCAAATTAAGAAGTAGCATAAAAGAGGAGATATTTTAACCCAGCTGCAGTGCTGCGCCATTAGGACACTGTACCCTGCAGCCTGTGACCACACGGAGGTCTGAGTTTAATTCTGAGTCCAACCTAAAGGCTGAACACTGTGGCATGTGCTTGCAGACCTGGTTGGGAGACTAACATAGGAGGATCATACCATAGAGATTGAAAACAAACAAACAAACAAACAAACAACAGCAAAAGAGGAAGTATTTCAACAGAGTTGATCCTGAAGAAATCCATGTAATCTTGAGACCATATCCATACTGTCAAGTGCTCTTTTGGGATGGGGTTTCAAAATGCAACCGTGTGGAAGATTTGGATTCAGAAGCCTTGTAGGTACAAATTTAGAAAAGCTGCATTTTAAAAAATGTAAAAGAAGTAGAAACATCAGGGTTTGAGTGCCAATGTTATTTGCTTACAGAAGGTTGGTGGGGGATAAGGATGCTTTTTATTTCCAGCCTCAGACAATCTCCTAAGAAAGTAAACTCAAGACTAGGTGAGAATTGTGCGGCTTCATTCTGTCAAAACATATTGCTACTTATAGGCTTAGGGATGCTGCCAATAAAATATTTCCTCAACCCCCGAGGTTGAACAAGAATAGACTCTTGGATAAGATTATTGTTAACAGCACAAGGGTTGATATAGCCACGAGTTAATAGCTCCTGGCAAACAGCAGCCCTTTTTGTTCTGTGTGAATAGTTCTTCCTCTACTGGTCTGCCAAACTAAGCACATTTGGTGTGTTTTCGAAGTGGCACGCAGGAGGTCAATTCATTAATCATTCTCAAATAGTGGGAAACAGAGGCTCCCGTTTAGGAAGGTACCGGAAATGTAGTCCTTTCTGTTTTCCCCTTGTAAGCTAGTAGAGAATATTATGCCCCCTAAAAATTCCTTGCATCCTCAAGGGCTTGTACATTTCTCATCTCTCTTCATTAGAATTCAAATGATTGCATCACCTTTAAGTAGATGATCAAGTGGGACTGAAAGAATAGGGCATATTTTTTTCAAAACATATTTCGTTCTTTTTATTTATGGTGTATATAAAATACCTACCTTGAGTATATTTTTTTGTAAATTTGCCCTACTCAGAAACCCACTTCTCTGGGAACTCCAGTATGTTTAGTGTTTGGCAACCGTATTTCTGTCTTAGATAGGTGTGTATGTACCTAAAGATAATTTAAGCCCACCCCCTTTTGAACTTACTTGCAAGCGTGGGATTTGATGGCAGAGGGACTTGAGTGGAAGATTTGATTCCAACTCTTGCTGACAAGGAGACTGGACAACTTATGTAACTTCTCAAAGCCTTGTTTTCCTCCTCTCTAAAATGGGTATAATTTTAGTCTTGCTTCCTAGAAGAGTTCTGAGATTAATCTAACACTACTCTGGGACTTCAAATTGTTTGTAGAAAACAGAATTAAAGTATCATTTAGTTTTGATGCAAAAAATTAAATTCCATGAATAGTTCTTTTTCATAATATATATTTTTATAAACTCTCTAAGGACCCCTCATGTATGTAAAAAATCTCACTTTAGGGAAGAAATCTCCTTGTTCTCTCCTTGTTCTCTTCTCTCACTCTTCTCTCCTCTTCTCTCCCTCAATATTCTTTTTTGTCTTCTTTCTCTTACTCCTCTCCTCCTTTTCATCCCCTCTTCCTCTGTTCTCCTTTGCTATGTCTGAAAGACATCCTTTTGCTCTCCTTTCCTGTGTGAATTCTGCTAGAAAATGATTCACATTTTCATTAATCGGGGGTCTCTAAACATATGAAAGGCAAAGGGCTTTTTCTTGCATGCTGGATTCTATTTAAACTGAAAATAAACTAATTTTCCTATGATTTTTCCTTAGGCTTCTCATTGGAAGAACTCCAGATTTTGGACAACACGGATGCAGCTGGCTCTTTTGTTTGATGGAAGGAATCACAGAGCTAAATATCCAGTGGAATATCAAATGGAATACAAGAGACTTTCCTCTCTGCTCTCTGGATCTCTGCAAAATGCCCTGTTTGTTTTGAAGGTCAAAGTGAGTTCTAAGCAGTAATTGAATGCAGAGCATATAATGCTCGCCCACTTTAGATGCGAGGCTTCCAAAGCCGATCAGGCAGCGGAACTCTTGACATTCTGTTTGTTTTTGTGTGAATAGAAAACTCAAATATTTAATTGATTTTGATCCTCTGCAATATGTGGCTTTATCTTCATTTACAAACATCTCTTTTCCTGTCTTACCTTTGCTCTGAGAGTCCAGACTTCCTGCTGTCCCCAGTTTTTTGCATCCTTTTTCTGAAGCCCATAGAGTGCTCGTCAAATCCTTTGCATGCTCATGATTTAAAACACGTAAATAGGAGCCAGTAGATAGATGACGTAGTGGTTACGTGACGAACTCGCACATGACCTATTGCGGTTGGAGTTCCAGATCCGGGAAATTATGGATTATGAAAATTATGTCGGGTGCGTGTATGTGTGTGTCCAAGATCCGGGAAAGAGAATGGAGGAGCTGGGATTGCAGCATGGCCTTTCCTTCTGGGGCATGATTTCTCACTTTCCCTCTCACTGTCTTTATCTCTCTTTCTCTGGCAAGTATACACGCTCTAAAGGAAAAAACTCTTATTAAACAAAAAAAGCAAACAAAACAAAGTGAGAGAAATAATTGCTTTTCATAGAATTTTATCCTATTTCCAGTGAACTCTCTTAGAACTATTTTTATTTTCTCTGATTTCTTCTCCTAGTATATTCAATGCACACATTTTTCAAAGTGTTAACTCTGAACACTCTGAATGCTTTTCTCAAAAAAATTTCTGACAGTCTTTCTGGTGAAGTTACCTAACGTACTAGACTAAATAACCCTGGTCTAGCCTGGATTAGGGAATAAAGACTGCTCCCATTTCTCCAGGGACTTCACACATACCACATGTGGCTTGATTTTGACCAAGCAGAAACTTGACAGCATTGATACTGACCTCCAAAGCGCCCTGGCTGGCCTGTGTATGATACCTGGTGTTTTTGTTTGTTCTCTAACTGCTTTTGCGTTTCTCCAAGCATTTCCTGTATTTGCAGTTAGTTACTGGTCTTGCATAGTTACTTTCTTTCCTTTACAAACTATTCCTTCTTACTGCTCATGTCTTTTCAACTCTTCATCACTTTCTTGTCTATCTTTTATATTTATGGCTTGTGTGTCTCAGAAAGACAAGGCAAAGGAAAGGACCTTTCTTAAATGAGTCATAAAAAAATAAGCACAGGGACCAGCAGATGGAATCCCAGACCTGGTGGCTTAATACTCAAGCTGGGCATGTATGCATGCATGTGTGTGTGTGTGTGTGTGTGTGTGTGTGTGTGCCCATGTGTGTATTTGCCCAAATCCCAGAATGAGTACGGCAGAGAGAGGACAGTGGCATGGCTATCCCCTCTGGGGGAGGGGGTGGGTGATTTCTATTTTTTTTCTTTTTTGAGAGATTTTTCGCTATAGGGCGCGTGCGCTCGCCAGACAGACAGAGAGAGACAAAGAGACAGAAAGCGAGAAATAACCCCCCAGAGGGGATGGCCATGCTGCAATCCCTTCTCCTCCATTCTCTTCTTGGGATCTTGGGCATGCACGCACATGCACCTGGTGTGTTTTAAGCCACCGGGTCCGGGCCACGAATCGTGGTCGACTACGTGCGAGTCCAGCGACATAGCCATTATGCTAACTGCTGGTTCCCAAGGGGTGGGTGATTTCTCACTTTCCCTCTAACTGTTTCTGTCTCTCTCTCTGACAAGTACACTTGCTCTAAGACAAAAATCTCAAAAGAACAAATGAGAAAGAGAGAGAAAGGCACAAAAAAGAATGACAATCATTAGAGAGCTAGATAGTGGCATAGCAGTAAATGTGATGTTTTGTCAGGTGGACCCACATGAGAGAATTCTAGGTTCAATTCCAGAATCCTCCCTAAGTATGCTATCCATGTATTTGCCCATGTTCCAGGGCTGGCTAGAATGGATAGATTGTGGCATAAAGATCCTGTGGTGGAAGAGTCCGACCCAGTAGGTCCCCAGGATCTGTTTTGAGCCTTTGACCTTTGAGCACAGTTTTGGTCAGCTCAGCACATTGGCAAGGCTGCTGCTGTATGCCCCCTGACCTATGAGCAAAGCTTAGGTTGACTCAGCATGTTGGCAAGGCTGCTTGCTATATGCTCTGGAGACTGCAGTAGCCTTGCTGGTAAGTGACCCCCCCTCTCACTCCCTGATATACTACTATAAAAGAATTACTTAACTCTCTGATACATCCTGAGTATGTGATAAGATTTCCTGAAAGTCCCTGACCACTCCCCTTTTCCCTGACCACCTACTGTTAATTAAAATGCTTCATCTCTGCAGTCACAATAGAGGGTGTGCTGAAGTTCTATCTAGGCAGAAATCATCTTCTTGACCTTTGGAAGACCCTTCAGGATACATTTTACATAAGCTTAAAAATAATATTTTCTTTACATAAAATAAGATTAGGCTGAAACTGGCCCAGGACACCCCCACCCTTACCAAGTGAAATAGATAAATATATTAGGATTCCTTAAATTAAGGTTTAGGTCCCTATAAAATTATATAAGTATCATTCTTTATTGAGATCCATAAGAACTAATACCTATACTTGAAATTTTTTCTTCTTAGCAATGTACTCAGTAACCACAAGATGGCTGCCACCGAGCATTGGCTGATAATTAACTCTGCTTGCTGGAGGCTATTTCCCGAAACAGCATTCCATGAAGTTTCTGAAGACCTGCCTACATCAAACAAACAATTGCTGAACTGTAATAGACCCGCCCTTAATCCAACCCTGAATGGAATCTATGTTCCCTAGTGTTAAAACTTTATGAACTGATAATTAGAACACATAGCCCCTCACCTGTTTACTTGCATGTATCACGTTTTCAATAAAAAGGCACGAAAATTCCTAGCAGTTGTCACTCTTCAGAGAGCAATCTCTGGGAGTGCCCAACTGAGGACATGCACAAATATGGCACCAAGGCCTCAGTCTTTCCTTCCTGTGCCACCTCTGATGAGATAACCCACCCTCGCAGAGGCTAGACCCTGGCACTGTGGAAGATACTATCTCTCTCTCATAAAATAAATAAACGAATAACCTTTAAAAATTATATGAAAAAAAAATGACAATCAATGGAAAACATAGCTTAGTCTCGGGATGAAAACTGACTTGAACTCCTAATATACTTGGGGACAGAGCTGAGGTTAGGTTCCGTCTGTCTGCCTAGAACCTAACACAGTGCCAGCCACAGAGAGAGAGATTTGTAACAGACTAGTAGACTACTGGATGGATTTTTTTTTTCTTAAAGTCCCAGTTTAACATAGGCACTTAACATATTTTCTGTGCATGTTACAATTTCACACTGAGGCAAGATTAGGCCAGTAACAGGTATATTACACTTATGAACTGAATGACCTGAAAGCTTGCATGTCGGCCTTGGTATTGCCATCCATAAAATGATAAGCATTAATGAGTACCTAAATTAGATGATTTCTTTACAATGACCTTGAGATATTAATGTTTGATGTGTTGAGTTACGGGTGAATGCACATAAAGGATTTTGAGCGAAGACCAGCAAATATTAAGCATAATATAATATTAGAGTTTGTTACTATTGGTAATAGGAGTATTAGCAAGGCTGAGTAGGCTCCACATGTATGCTGCCCAGACAGAGGAAAGCAGATTTTGCAAACACTGGCTGCTCAGTATTTGGGAAGCGTGTTAATTTATGAGATAACCACATCACTTTACTTCCCTGGTTCACCGTAGCTACATAGCATTTTTACAATAACATGTGCTTTTGTTTGTTTGCTTGTTTGTCTTGCTTTTGGGGAGTCAACACAACCCTCACCTTATCCCCACCACGTTATTTCTGAGAGTAGGGAGTTACTCCTAAAATGTTACAGTACTTTAGAAAAGGCACACTCTATTTTTCACATAAAATCGTACATTTTTCTGGACCTTCCCATTTTGGACTAACTGTCAAAGAATCCACTGCCGGATTTAAGGACATTCTTTCATGGGTGCAGCAGCAGATCAGGCTGGAATGAAATCTGAGTGTTGCTGCTTGTGTGTGGTCCTTGCTCTTCCTAGGGACCCACCCTTCTGTTCCAGAAGACTTGCCAAAGGCATTTTACCAAAGGGGAATGCTCTCCAGGGTGGCATATTCTTTTCTAAAATATGAGGAATAAAAACATGTGTGGCAAGATGAGTTTCAGGACTGATTCAACAGGTAGGAAGGAAGAAGGCGATTCTTAACTTCTTACCCTCAGTGTCCCAGAGGCTCTTCCCCATTCCAGTATTTTACCAAAGAGGGATGGTAGTCCTGGAAAAGGGTAGGGACATTTATTCAGTCATTTCTCAAATATTTAGTGAGGATCCAGACATAAGTGAGGGAAAAGATGTTTACACAGTCCTATCCTTAAAGTATTGGAAGTGGGCTGGCTAGTAGTCTAGTGGTTAAGGGCACTGGATCTCACGTGATCCACTGTGATTTGATTCCTGGCCCTGGTGGCTTGAAAATATGCTGTTTGTGTGTTTTTATGCCCCAAATCCTGACAGGATGGAGAAATGAAGAGGGGATTATTGAGTGAGCCTGCCCCACAAAGAGGTGCTTTCTCCCTTTCCCTTTTTATTTGGTTTTCTGTATTTTTCATATGAACACACACATTCTCAGGAAAATTAAAAAAAATATATTTAATAGTCTCATTGTAACATGAACATAAATATTGCACATAAACCATGACTAGGGCACTCATGAAGAAAGTTAGCCTACCACACTCAAAACTTAGGCAGTCCCTATTCTAGAGGCATGAACCTCTCTTTGAAACAGTTTAGCAGCAAGGACTATTCTTTTACAAGGAAGAATCTGAAGAAAACATCATTGTTTTACCAGGATATCATATGGTTAACTTTCTACACCTCTATAAGGCTCAAGGTTATGCGGGCTTAACCCCCAGCACCGTACATTGTCAATAAAAGCTGCACCTATTCCATGCACGGTGGACACTCTCAGAGATTAAATTAACAACATCTCATAAGCCAGACCCATGACTGAAACTGTGTTAAAATAAAATCTATAGTGTGTAGGGCCCCACTAAGTCATCTCTGTTGAGGGTACAAGAGGTAAAACAAACCAAATCGAAATAGAGCAAAATAACCAAAACAAATAATGGTTTGCCAAGCAGTTGGGAAGAGGAATGACTCTCAGAACTATAAATCACATCTGTTAAAACTTGTGATTATCCCTTGCAAGTTTCCAAAAGGAAAATGTCTCAGAAACAAACAATTACACAAAGAACAAAAGCATGCATTAGGCAGGAGAGCAGTACTCCTTTCAGGGGCATATTGATTCTTTGAGAAAAGAAACACTTAGTTATCATGTAAGTACGGTGGAATAAAGGGGAGTTTAGTGGACAAGACAAAGAATCTGGAGTTTTGATTCTGACCCTCTTAATTATGTGAGTGGAATTACTTAGTCAGCTAAAACACACTTTAATTATCCTTTTTTAAGTAAATAAATAAGAAAATAATAAGAAAGAACCCCTATGATACTAGGGCCATAGGACTATATTTCATTATAAGAGCCCAATGAGATGTTCGTAGAAGTGCTTTATGAAATGCAAAACATTCTGAAATGATCATTTAGTATTTTTTTAACAGTTACAAGAAAAACAAATAAGTTTTTGAACAACAAAAAAATCTGAATTTCATACTTAGGCTTTATTTTACATAAATTATTAAATATTATTATTCTTTTAGACAGAGTCTAGCTCTGTTGCAGTCTTCCTGCCTCAGCCTCTCAAGCAGCTGAGACAACAAATGTGCATTAGCATACCAGCTTTAAGGATGGACTGGGAATCAAACCTGGGCTTCCCATGTGGCCTCAAGCGGTAATGTTTCACCAGCACATTATAAGCTAAATATTAAATATTTTAAATAGGTAGATATTAAATAAAGTTCAAAGATATTTACCACAGGTGTTTTTTTTTTTTGAGTTTTTGTCTGAGAGCATGTGTGCTTAATGGAGAGAGACAGAGATAGTAAGTGGAGAAGTGAGAAATAACCCCTTGGGGAATGGCCATGCTACAATCTCTTCTCCTCCATGCTTCTTCTGGGATCTTGGGCATGCACATACACATGACTGGGCATGAATTTCAAGCCACTGGGTCTGGGACTTGAACTGTATCAGTCATGTGGGAGTTCAGCAACATAATCACTATGCCATCTGCTGGTCCCACCACAGAATTTTAAATACCCTGTATTAATGGTTTCCTAATTACTGAAAAGTCACCTAGTTTTTCACTATCCCCTTATATAGCCTATTCTAATCAAAATATTTTTTATCTCTTGCTTCATACAGAGGTAAAAACTGATGCACCACATGTTAAAAATTTCCTGAATTAGGCAACTCTACAGAAATTCTATGATTGTCTTTATGCATTCTTGTTCATAACCTGGTGATAAAAAGGACTCGAGATGGAATGGGTGAAAGCACAATTTACTGGCCTCTAATCCCAAGATTTTCATGAGGAACACTCTCTTTTTGTTGTTGTAAGTTTGTTCATTTCTTCTGTAAATAAGAGAGTAAGAAGGCAAGAGCTTACATTCCCAACAAGGTCTTGACATCATGATCTACTCTTGACCCCAACCAGCCCTGGACCACAGGTACTCACATATCTGGAATATTCAGGAAGGCTTCAGACCTAAACGTGGAACCTCCCATGTGGGTAAGTCCCACAGTGCTGTGTCTTACCACTGTGCCATCATCCAATCCCCAGTCCTTTTTAATATAACAGTAACACATTTAGAAGAAACTAAATTTTTAAAAAGAAATTGTTGTACCTCACACAGGGTGACTATAATCTATATTCAATCTATTCTATTCTATTTTTTTTTAAAGAGGTTTTTGCTGTAGGGCACATGCGCTCACCAGAAAAACAGAGAGAGACAGAGAGACAGAAAGCAAGGACCCCCACCCCCCCAGGGAGGGTGACCATGCTGCAATCTCTTCTCCTCCATTCTCTTGGGATCTTGGGCAAACACACACACGTGTCCAGTGTGAGTTTAAGCCACCAGATCTGAGACTCGAACCGCCGTTGACTATATGGGAGTCCAGCCACATAGCCATTACACTAACTGCTGATTCCAATCTATTATATTCTTGAAAGTTGATTAGAAAGTAGATTTGAGTATTTTTACAACACACACACAAAGTATAAATATGTGAGGTCATATGTATATTTATTACCTTGTTTTAGTCACTCTACAACATGTGCATATTTTAAAACAAGCAATATGTACATAATAAATATAATTTCCATCTGTCAATTAGAAAGTAATCAATTAAAATAAATGATAACTTCATATGTTAAACTTCTATCACTTAAAATTGGATTCCTTTCCAAAATATGTTTGCTCTTATGAGAATGTTATTCCAAAAATGTATGAGCTCTCCTGCTAAAACCTACCAAATTTATTGTAATGGAACATGGAGGCCCGTAGAACATACCTGACTTGATACTTTTCTGCTTTCTCATTTGTCCTGTCCCATTCTGTCTCCACATAGTGAGATTACACATAGTGCTTTATATTTAAATTTAAATAAATTAAAATAAGATTAAAAAGCTCCTCAGTTGATAGCATTATCAATATTTCCAGTGCTCAAGAGTCATACACATGTGGCTAGTGGCTACCATGTTGATGACAGATATAGAACATTGCCTTCATCACTAAAGTTCTTTGGACAGGACTAACATAGCTTCTTACTGCTTGGCCCATGCTG